AGAGAGAGAGAGAGAGAGAGAGAGAGAGAGAGAGAGAGAGAGAGCATCGATGTGAGAAAGTGTGAGAGCATTTCTGTCATCCAGGCATTTAGGCTAAAGTGACTGTAACAATTTTGAACATGGGAATTTCCTGAAGTGGGCTAGCAGTCCAGGCTGTGGTGCTGAGCTGTATGTATTGGATGACCCAGTGATTCCAGGCATGTGACAGCCTGTGGAAGATGACTAGATACCTGTGTCTTCTGATGATGTCACAGGGAGTGCGTGATACCTTATGGTTGTCTCTGTTGTTCCTGTCTCTTTGGGTCCTGCCTCTTCATCTCTATTCTTGTCAGTGGTGCACAACACTTTGGAACTGCACACACAGTTGGAAAGGGTTTGTGTGACAGTGTAGGTCAGAAATTAGAGCATCATCTGAGATGTGATGTTTTCTCAGGAACACACCAGAGGTTTTCCTGCGGAGCAGGGCATCTCCGCCTCACACAGGTCCTTGATTTCAACCTAAGGGGCCTCAGGATTTGTTTTTGTATAAACTATAATACCTACAGATCAACCTCGTGCCTTTTCAAAGTATTCAAATCTTGTTTTATTACTTAAATTCTAAAATTGGTGAAAGTATCTCCTATATAAAGTCAAAGATTCCCTTCCCACTCTCCCTTTCTTGAGATTTTGTCCCATGCAATCCAACCTGGTCTAAAACTTGTTGAGTATTTGAGAATGACCTTGAACTTGTGGTCCTCCTGTCTCTGCCTCCTAAGTGCTGCGTTTGTGGGTGTGTGTCACCATGCCCAGGTTTATGAAGTGCTGAGAATCAAACCAATTGCTTTGTGCAGGATGCCCGTGCACTCTACTGACTTACCTCCACTCTGGCTCACTCCCCTTTCTTTGGTGACCTTGTTGATAAAGTGGCTGCTGTTGACTGAAGATGCAGTCTGGCCACAGCTGGTGTTCTCTGATGCGTTTGTCATCCCTTCTGCCATTACACCCTTTGTCGCTGTCTTTCATATACACACGTGTGTAGAAATCATGTATATGTTTTGACAAAGGAAAACTACTTATATTTGTGGAATATGATGGTGCATTTCAACAAACGTCTATATTTTTTAATGCTTAAATCTCAATAGTAATATTTATCTCCTCAAATATTGGTCATTTCTTTGTGGTAAAAATATTAGAAGTCTTCTTCCTCTTTTTTTCTTTTTTTTAAAAAAAAGATCTCATTTTCCAGCCTACTATTTCATCACTTTCTTCTTTTTTCGTGAAATTTTCCTATTTCAAAATGTATCTGTTGACACCAACTTGCCCACATCCTTCCCTCCTTTTTTTGCTCATGATTGTCTATGTTAGTGAAGTTTATGGCAACTCTCAGGGCAGTTGGTGACAGATATCTCTTTTGTAGTGACAAGTGCTTGTGCTAGACAGGGTGTGCTTGTGTGCGTGTGTGTCTGTGCGGGGGTGTGTGTGTACATACATAATTTCATCTATTATTATGCCTTGACACATTAAAAATGTAACAAAATAGAATACCGTTTTCTCTGGGGAGACACTGACCCTCTGAGGTCTAATATGTTCTGAGAGACAGCAAAGCATCATCATCACATTAAAAAAAAATATCTGTGAGACGTGAACCAGCATAGCAGCATGTCCTCTGTTTGACCTATACCTTCAGAGAGGGGGAACGTGTCCACCTTAATCATCACAGGTCAGGTAGGTATCAGGCCACCAGGGGCCACTCTACAGCTTGAAGCCCACCGACGTTAGTCTAACCTGCCCATTTCTCACTGCCCACGCAGCCTATGTGACCTTCCTATGTGCCCAGTGTGGCAAAGCACACCCTTGCCATTTTAGGAACTAGGAGCACAACAAGCAGAAAAGAGGAGGAATAGGGAGACTGGGTACCACTGTGGGGCCTAATCTATGTTTCATCCTGATGAGGCTCCCAAGTATAGAGTGATGTCGTGCCTGGTACCATGTACCCAAAAGTTCACACAGGACACCGAGGGAACAAGCTTCTTTCAGAGAAACATGCATGTAAAACTTTCCTTCCTCCATAGCCTGAGTGATCCCAGCTAGGTGTGGAAGGGCTTCAAAGTGGGGCCCAGGGGCTCTTCTCTAGAGTTCGCTCCCTGCGCCCAGTGACTTTCTGAGACACCAGATATCAAAATATGGCCAAGGAAGAGAGAAGGCAAGAAGATCACAGAGTCTGCAGCTCCAGGACTTCATCCAGTTTCACTAAGCAGAGCAACCACCTAGAAGCCAGGAGCTGGGCCGGGTTATTTACTTATCGTTGAACCTGTCCTTATCTGAGTGTATCACTGACGGCAGGGCGCAGGGACCTGACTCGCTGGAAGCCCCGTCTTTCTGTTGCTGTTGTTCTCCCCTGCAGTCAGTGTTCCCCTGGGCCACAGGCGCTGAACCCAAGCGAGGGCATTTCTGTCTCTGCCGCTCACTCTGACTGGGCTGTGTCCCCATCACGCTGCTCCCTCTCCCCTGCCCTCTCTCCTCATTGCCTGGGAACCCACTGTCCATTAGAACAGGTGAAGTCTTGGATGAGTGGAGCTCCACCCTCCAGCCACACATGTCACTGTAAGCGGCCTGCTGGGTAGGAATGAGGATATTCTAATGAGGAGCTTGGAAACTGCCTTCCAGGAGAGACTGGAGCCTAGACAGTGATGGTGGGGTCGCACTTCGGCCAGGACTGCTTCTCTAGGCATATAACTGGCGCTGTGCTGAAGCAGAAACCTCATGCCAGGATCCTAAAGATGGTCTTGGCGGGCAGGTCACCAAACCTCTTTGTCCCTCTTCCCAGTGTGGCCACTTTGAATAAGACCCTTTAGGATGTTCTTTATTATTACTCGTTTAGTTGACTTTATTAGTTGAAGTCTATTAAAGCTGTTAAGCTTTGAAGTCTGAGATTTATACCCTGCCTCTCAGCAGGCTTGACTCTGGCATCCTGGAAGTCAGAAATCTCCTAAGATCAGGCAGGCCCTCTTCTATTCCTGCCCAGGCTGCTGAAGACTCTAGGCCCATGTATCAGCTTCCTCTCACCATAGGCAACCCATAGAGAGGAAAAGGACCCTTTCCCAGGATGGGGCTCCTTAGGACTCCCGCTGGATAAAGGGTCCCCTGCCACTCAAGGCTGTCACCAGGATGTCACAGGATGACACCACAGCATAATAAGAAAGACTGTCATCTCTAGGCACCCGGCTCTCTACAGATGCCCCGCTGGCTGCTGTCATTCTGCAGAATGATGTTTTGGTAAGAATGAACATGGGATGGGTTGAGGGGACTTGGGACCATTCTGAAGCCAAATGTGCAGGAAATATAAACCAGACAGTGAATCCTCTATGTCCCCTGTAAGCATTGTGCCCAATCTTCTTTGACCACAGGTTAGCACATATCTGGCCGGTTGTCACCATGGAGATTTCGCTGAGGCCTTGCCCTGGGAGCAGGAAGTTGGCACAGAATTGGGTGGTTCCTGGTCAGTGGGGTGCCATACTTTGTTCTCACTGCCACTGTGACAGTGACCTCGGGTTGCTGTTCATAGTGACAGAGTGAGCTCTCTTCTGACTGGCCTGCTGGGTAGAATCCAGGCCTCTGGCAGTAGAGGACAGCCCAGTGAAGGTTAATCAAGATCTCACTCCAGGCTCTGCTGTAAGGCTGGCGTCTTGGCCTCACACCTTCTTTGCGGGCACCTTCCTTATCTCCAGCTCCTTCAACTGACCGGAAATCCACGGTCCAGGACTAGCAGGTTTACGAATCTGAGCAGGTAAGAGAAGAATGAAATGTAGAGTCCTGGATGTTGACTGAGAAGCCTAGAGAGGATGTGAAGTCAAGTGGCGTGGGGCTGGGTTGTGTGGGGAATTCATGGTTCTGTAAGGCAGGGGGTTGGAATTCCTTCCTAGGCTGGCAATAGGCAAAGGGGCCCTGGGGACATAACTCTAGGAAAAAATACCGGGATTTGTGAGCCAAATCCTGGCCATTATCTTATAGGCCCCGACAACTGGCTGTGTTCTAATTAGCACTCTTTGGAATGGAGGATGGATCCTCATCAGGGACCCAAGGTCTTCACCTGGCAATTGTCGGGCCCCGGCAGATTTTCCAAGAACATGCTCCTGTATCCCCTGACATACTTGCCAGCTTAGTGTGGGCAATAGGAACCTTTCCCTTGCCCAGCATTCCAGGCTTTGGTAGAGATTGCAACTGAGGCTCTGCTGATCTCAGACTGGTCACGGTGTCCCTGCTCCTATATCTCTACGCACCAACTTCTGGGGGCATCTGGACATGCTTGCTGTTCTTTTCCTATGGTCCTCACTTTCTTTAATGCTCAGCATATTGAGTTCCCAGGAAGGTTCTCCTTGCCCTTACTCCCATGGCACAGTCCTGGATTTTGAGATAACGTGATAAAGATCTAGATGATTGCAGGAAGGCAGAGGAAGAGTGGGTCCCTTTAGCTTTCTTTCCCTTTCTCTCCACAGAAGAGAAATGGAACACTTGTAACTAACAGGAATTTGGCATAAAAATGGGCAGAAAAAGAGAGAAAATGTAGAAAAACAAGCCCAGTCCCTCACCTGCAAAAATGCACATGTGTCTTAAGGTTTGAATGCAAAAAGGAAGGAACAGGTGGCACCGGACAGAGGCAATGCTAGGATTTGCCTTGAGGGAATGTGGAGGATGCTAGGCACACATGACAGGCCAAACTTCGTTTCGTAACTTTTTTTTTTTTTTTTTTTTGAGACAGGGTTCCTCTGTGTATCTCTGGCTGTTCTGGAACTCACTCTGTAGAGTAGGCTGGCCTCAAACTCACAGAGATTCACCTGCCTCTGCTTTCCTGGAGTGCTGAAATTAAAGGCGTGCTCCACCACTGCCCGGCTTGTTTCATAACTTTTAAACACAGAGGTCCACTGCATAGCTCACTGAGGCCCAGAGGCCTTTTGATCTCCTCCTCTCCCCTCCTCTTCCTTCCTCTGCAAGCCAGAGATCCAGGAAGAGCTGTTCTCATGGTGTCCATCTCTAGCAGATCAGTTTAGTTTAGTACACTTGACTTCATGCTAAGACTCTATCAATTTATAATGTTAACTTGCGAGAGAATGACCACTAGATTGTAAAAGTCAGCGACAATGAGGAGAGAGAGAGTACATCCTCAGCGTTCAATGTGCATGCTCTCCTCCTCCTGTCTCAAGGAGAGAACACTGACTTTTCTCTCCTCCTCCGCCTCAGGCCATCAGGTCTTCTTGGTGAGCGTTTTCAGTGTGTGCTTGTGACACCTGGTGGTGGAGGCTGACTGTGAAATGGTGGCTTTGGAAATGGTGCGCCTTAGCTGAGGGGCTGGTGAGCTCCATGGCCCAGAGCTTTGCAGCACACAGAGAGAGCCTCCATCTGCTCCCCGGAGGAGTCACTTCTTGACCACCTCGGCCATTTCGGCTGTGGAAGGAGACCTGGTACCTTCCAGACCCTTGCAGGAAGAATCCGTCTTGAGCAAAACCCCTTCCCAGGCTGACTGACTCTTCCCTTGTAGCCTAGTGGTAGATATAGCACCTTTGCCAGTTTTCGTTCCTTCCAAATGGCCATATCTAGCGTAAAGCCAGTGTTGGATAACATTTGGCTTGCAGAATAAATTAGTGAATGAGTGAAAACACAGACAGATACTATTGCCTGACATTTGGGTTGCTGGATTACAAGGGCTAAGCCCCTTAACTCTGACTGCTTTGTCCTCACTTGTTTCTTGCACAGTGTTCATGCGAGTCACCATGTCCTGGTCCTCGGCTCTGAAGAGACTTCTCGCTGTCTGCTTCTTCACTCACTTGTCTGTCAGCTGCGTGGGTGAGAGTGACAAGGATGGGATGTGGGAGCTGGGCAGTAAGGTGCCTTTGGGGACGCCATGGACAGAGGACGGATCGCTCAAGCTTTCAGGGATGCCTTTGACATTCTTGACTCCTTGACTCCTGGGAAAACAAAGCCCTGGGATGACTTTCTGAGCCTGTCTGTTTCCTTTTTGCAGAGAGTTACAGTTGTGAAAACAGAGAATGCTTTAACGGGAGATGCTTATCTAATCCAAGGACTTGTGAATCCTCTAAAGGCTGCTTCTACCTAGAGCAGGATTTTAAAACACCGTGTAAGCTGCTCTGAACTCTTACTGTCCTCTAGTTTATCCTTGCTTCCTTGAAGGATGGGGCGGCGAGTGTGGGCTTCTGGGAGGTGATGGGGATGGACAATGATACTGGATGTAGTCCCTAGGAACAGAGTGGAGAGTCCTTGGTTCTGTTTCTTATATCAACCTCATAGAGTTACGGGAGAGTGAACCCACACTTTTTTTTCCATGCTAGGAATCAATTTCATGGCCCCAGGCACGTTAGGCAAACACTCAGACCCATCGCAACAAAGTGTCCCCTCTGTTCATTAGTTCTCAGAAACAATAACAGAGGGCCTTTTGGAGAGAAGGAAGCATAAAGACAGAGAGAATGAAGGAACAGCTTCCTTACCCCTGGATGCTTCATTCTCTCTGTACCTCAGATGAGATCATTTCTTGGGGGGTTTGTTTCTTAGCTGAATCAGCCACAGACCTAAGGTTCCACGAGAGAGGCTGTTCTAAAGACGAGTGTACTGAGCTAGCGTTCTCAGCAACCCTGGGGTGCCATCGGACGTTTAGATATGACCTCCAATGCTGCTACACTGAGCAGTGCAACAAAGAGCCCAAAAGGGGTGAGTGGCTGTGCCTCCGCAATTGCTCCGTGTGTCTCTCTCCGCTCTCTGCTCCGTGCCTCTGCTCTCTGCTCCGTGCCTCCGCTCTCTGCTCCGTGCCTCCGCTCTCTGCTCCGTGTCTCCTTTGCCTCTCTGCGGACTGATCTCTGTGCCAGGACACAGCACTGACGCTTGCCTCCCATTTGTGTAGAGCGCTCCTTGAAAATGGATTGAGATAGATACAGGCTCTTCTCCTGTGTGGTAGACTGCGTGACAGTCGAATGGCAGGGATTGGTCTTGGGGACTTTCTCTAAGTGTCTTTTGGTTTAACGGCTTTGCTCTGCCTCTCCAACTGACAGGCTTTCTCACCTATTTTATTTCTCAGGTTCATTTTTGTTTTGTTGAGAAGGCAGCCTTGCTGTGTTTCTGAAGTTTGTCTTGAACCTCTAGTCTCAAGCAATCCTTCCACTCAGCCTCCAAAGGAGTAGCTGGGAGTTCGGGTGTGCGTGACCACCCCTGACTCATTCCTCACCCTATGCACAGCATCTTTCTAGAAAACAGATGATCTCTTCTCCCATTATCTAGGACTTCTTCCTTTGTTTTTGCTTTGGTGTTTTGAGACAGGTTTTCTCTGTGTAGCTCTGGTTGTCTATTTATGACTTTTCCTCCAGGACCGAGAGCCGAGTAACCGATGAAGGTGAGGACAGCACGGGATTTCTGTGAGATCCGTCACTGCACTCACAGAGCAGGGCCTTTCTCCTGGACTTCCTTCCAGCTCATCTTTCTCCCGGGCCTCCTTCCGGGTCATTCTAGCTGCCGTGCTTTTTGGTAGAATCGTGAGGAGAACTAGTGTTTGATGAATAGTGGGTAGATACATTCTCAGCTATTTCTTCTGCCTATTCCCCAAGGTGAAACCTCTCTCCACTCAGAGTCTCAGCCATCTCTCCAACCCAATGGTGTCGAATGCCCTGCCTGCTTCAGTGACAACAGCACGTGTAACCTAGTTACCCTGAAGTGCACCGGAGCAGAGACCAAGTGTGTGGAGGTTACCGGAAGAGGTATGAGTCCTTCCTCGAGCATCTTGTTAAGAGCACAACCTCACTCATCACTAGGCAGTGAGCTATGCCACATGTAGCAACTGAACACAGCCAACCTTGATTGCATCTCAGCGTGTGTCGGTCTGTAACCCGAGAACGGCCAGGAGCACGGTCCCGGCTCAGGGTGTGTCCTAGGGGCTGTGTTCATCCATCAGCGGCTGTTTCCCAGCTCACTTGTGGTTTCTGGTGGGTTTCGATTCTTTCTCTTATGGTCTCTTTATGGTTACCATCGTGTTCTCATGACTAACCACTGGCTTTCCTCAGGGCAAACGATAGAGGCACAGATAGAAAAGGGGAGCTGTGAATTTAATGCTTTGATCCCAGAAACAGCACACTTCCCCTTATAGACTGTTGGTCGTTTAGAGCAACCCTGACTTGACACGGGTAGAAGCTGCCAGGAGATGGAAGAGACTCTGTGGGCCATCTTTGAAACCTGTCTCCACGTGAAGAAAGTGGTTCTATGGGCCATGTGTCTGTAAGGTCTGGAAGGAGCCATTTGTTGGAGAGAAGGGTTAAGAATGGGAAGGAACGGAAGCCGAAGAAGGAATGTAACTCTTTTCCTAGAGGAGTCAGGCTTGGGCACCTGCGTTGCTGTGATATCCAGGAATGGAGCCGTAGCTCACTAGAAGTATAGGAGGTGATGGCACTTGGGGTCCAGATGTCTTTACCACTGTTGCCATTGTGACCACCAGAGCCTGAAATTAAGCACTCAAGCTTTACCTGGTGTCATTCTGGATTTAGGAAAAGATATAATACACACACACACACACACACACACACACATATGTGTGTGTGTACATATATATGTATATTTATTAATTAAGAGAAAATTATGTTTGTTATGAAGGATTCATATACCATTGAGACAGGAACTGGGAAAACAACTGTAAGATTTTTCTCGCTGGAAGGCACAGCTAAAGGAGGAGCTGGCAACTCTTTCCTGAACAATGTATGGAAAGGTTTTGTGGAAAGAGTGGTGTATTAGGAGCTGACTAAGTGGTGGGCGGAGAGCTTGAGAGGGTTGGGGGTAAGCTATATTTTCAGTTGGGAAAAATTTTGACAGAGGTTCTGGGATGAACAGTGGACAGGTCCTTTGTCTAGAGGAGTTGAGACAAAGCTGGAAAATGGGGTGTCACAGAGTGCAAAGGAGGATTCAAGTCATCTACAATGGGGTGCTTTACCTTGGGAAACAGATATCTGGTGCATCCTATAGTTGTTCTCATAGGGACCTCAGAGCCCTCGGAAGAAGGAATGTCGGTTTGTGGGAGATCCACAATATTTCCCTCCTAGAGAAGGAGAGAAAGTGTAAGGAGGGGAAGGCACGCCCACTCGAAGGGCTCTAGCCAACAGCTGAGACCCTGCATCTGGCCTTCCTCCTCACCTGCACTGAGCTCATCTCTCCCAGCCCATGGGTACCCAGAGGCCTCAGCATTAGTCTTGTGTCTAAGATGCGAGGATCCTTTTAAGATTCCTTCTATATGGGGGAGACAGTGGGGCCAGAGGACAGGAAGGCTCGACTCCGCGTGGACGGAGCGGTGCTCATGTTCCCATGCAGTGGTGGAAGTTGTGGATCCTGGCCCCTTCTGAGCAGAGCTCCCTTTCGGAGGATGTAGGTGAGGAGGGGGACGAGATGGGAGAGAAGAGTGACTGCTGGGTCTCTTCTTTAACAGCAGTGACTGAGAACCTCCCCCCACATGTGATACGTGGAATGGGCTGCGCGACAAAATCTGCCTGCGACCTGAAGAATATAACCGTTGGGAAAAACCTAAGGATCAATACCGTCTGCTCCAATGGGAGCCCTCCCCTCAGGTCCGTCTCATCCGTTCTGGCTGCTCTTTTCCTGGTGAAAGCCTTGCTTTGATCCTTTGGGGACTGTCAGTCCCATGATCCTTCTTCACATTTAAACACATCAGCAACCTTTCACGACGCCTTTGCCCAACAGGGGAGAAATAAAGACCACCGATTGTACTCTGGATGGGAACTCTTACTTTCTTTTTGGCACTTTTCACAAGACTGTGATCTCTTTCATGTCCCTACCTTCCCCTTGAGCCACACATCTCCATTGCAATTATCAATTTACACTCCCGATTTGTAACTGTTCATTGCTAATAAAAATATTTTTACATTAGGGGAACAGGGTCTCACTGTGTAGCACTGGCTAGCCTACAATTCACTATGTAGATAAAGCTGGCCTTGAACTCAGAGATTTATCTGTCTACTTCTGCCTCCAGGTGCTAAGATTAAAGTGTGCACCACCACACCTGACCTAGAAAATAGATTTTTGAATGAACAGTGCAGAACCCAGGAGAATCATTTTCCAAAGTTTATTGAAGTCTTTGGGTATGGTGGTGAGTGCTTGTATCCTGCTGCCTAAGCGGCAGAGGCAAGAGGATTAATGTTGAGGGTTAGGTTTAGCACCTAATAATATGGGCTATATGCTGAGCTTCAGGCCAGCAAAAACTACAAACATGGCAAGATGTTTCCCCCCAAAATAAGAATCTGGCAAGGAAGTATGCTCTTGAATTCCAGAACTAAGACAGCAGACACAAGCAGATCCCTAGACTAACGTAATGGGAGCCGTCCAGGCCAGTGAGAGCCCCTATCTCAAACACAACAACAAAAATGGTAGGCATCACATGAAGAACCAGAGCTGAGGCCCCACAGCAATGTGCACACACATACCATACACATGCAAATAAAATTAAGGAGGCAGGGACAACTGAGCCTCACTTACCTCTGAACCATGTGTGCTATCCTTGCCATGAACTCTGTATGGATCTGCATCTTAGGAGAGATGGGCACAAGGAAACGGATGGAGGCTATGAAGGTGTTATAAATGCTAAGCTTAAAGATGTGCATATCGCCCTTTAATTGTAAAAGAACATTTATGAAAAATATTTGAGAATATGGATGTGGTTTCTCCAAACTGCTTCCTCCTGTTTATTGGGTGAAGTATTTTCTTTGTAGGGGTTTCACAGCAACCTTTCAGGGGGTCTTATTCCATCAAACCCTATTGGTCTGGAAGCAATCCATAGGTTCTCCTCCTCTGTGAAAGCAAAATAAGAACCTCTTTTCCAAAGCAACGTATTCTTAGACCCAAATTCTGAAGTCAAGATACCTTTATAATATACATGCTGGTTTAGCTTAGCAGCCCATACAATGAAATGTCTCTCTGGTACTTAGCTCCTTCACAGTCAAAATATTTAAAGAAAACACAAAAATATACATAATCCAGACTCTGTGAATTTTCCATATTTACATGGCCTGTTTTTTATTCTAATACTTTTTAATATTTATTTTATTATCTTTATTCCTTTAAACTATTACTGTCTGTACTCTGTCTCTTTAAAGACTTTACCCCCCCCTTTTTAAAAAAACCATTTACTTCTTTTCCAACTCTCTATACTCTTATTTTCTTTCTCCCAAGCCTACTTACATTTATCCAACACTGTTGTTACCCATTTAAAGGTCTTTTATGTCTAAATCTGTCCTACTGTGTATCTGTAATTTTTTACTGTCCAGGAGCACTTCTTAAAACACTAAGTGCATTTTTAAACTTTAGCTGCGCCTTTGCTAATAGAAATATGGCATTGCCTGCTTAGCCTGCCAGTCCAGCATGGCAGAGCTGTTCCATTCACTGCCTCTGAGAGCCACACACACTACCCCATTTCCAGGCACACAGCCAGTCCACATTGGCATCAAGCAAGCCACAGCATGCTCCTCACAAACCCCATCAAGATGCTTGTCCTCTCCAAAGAGCCAGAGTTCCTGTTAACAGCATGTCCCACAGCCGGGAAGCTGCCATTTTGAAACCACGCAGCTGCTACTGCTGAATCAGTAAGACTCCTCTGAAAGGATCTCCCACACACTGCCAGCAAACAGCGAGAATCTGTGTTAAACTCTATTTTTGTGTCTAGAATTCCCTTTCAAGCCTTCTCAGGGTTTATGTGAATTTAGTTGGCCATGTGGGCACTAATTTGTAATATGAGGGTCTGCTTGTTTGTTCCTGGTTGCCCAGCTAGCTTAGACCTGAAATAATCACACAGAAACTGTATTCATTAAATCACTGTTTGGCCCATTAGGTCTAGCTTCTTATTGGCTAACTCTTACATCTTAGTTTAACCCATCTCCATCAATCTGTGCATTATCATGAGGTCGTGGCCTACCAGCAAAATTTTAGCATGTCTATCTCCAGCAGTGGCTCCATGACTTCTCTCTGACTCCACCTTCTTTCTCCCATCATACAGCCTAGCTTTTCCCACTTAGTTCTGTTCTTCCCTGCCATAGGCTCAAAGCAGTTCTTTATTCATTAACCAGTAAAAGCAATACGTAGACAGAAGAACCTTCCACACCACTTCCCCCTTTCTGTTTAAACAAAAAGGAAGGCTTTAACTTTAACATAGTAAAATTACATGTAACAAAACAGGTATCAAGCAAGAATTACAGTTACAATATTTATATATACTTTATCTTTTATCATAACTAAGCAAAACTATAACTATAAATTCTTCAATTCCATCAAAGACTCCAGAAGGATATAATATTACCCTAAGTAAACAGGAAGTGCATTGTAAGCAACTTCCAAAACTCTAGAATTGACAGAGACATCTTGCTGCCTACACAGTCACCCAAAGTTTTTCTATACCATTGGGGCATCCATCTTCAGCCTACAAGCCCATACTATCCAGCAGACTTTTCCATGAAGCATGAAATTTCAAAGACAGTTCCACTTATATTGGCAGTTTGTCAGGCACTTTCTTCTGTATCATGCAGAATGTAAAGATCTTGTCTTGTCAACTTGACACAAACCAGGGTCACTTGGAAAGAGAGACCCTCAAATGAGAAAAATGTTTCCATCAGACTGTCTTGTAAACATATTTGTGAAGCATTTTCTTGATTGATGATTGATGTGGAGCTGTAGGTAGTGCCATCCCTGGGTAAGTGGTCCTGGGAGGTGTCAGGAAGGAAGATGCACCCAAAGAGCAAGCCAGTAAACAGTGCTCCTGTATGGTACCACGTCAGCTCCTGTCTCCGGGGTCCTGTCTTGAGCTCCTGTATAGTACTATGTCAGCTCCTGTCTC